AGCATATTCCGAGGTCACGTGCACAGTTAGAAGTATTGTGGAGTGGCACCCCCGATGATGCACGTTGAAAGCAATATGGCAGACCACTATATGCAGTTCAACCGTCTTCGTTGGGATTTAACGCCCGAATCCATCAAAGACAAGACTATTGAGCTAATTGAGAAGGCCAAGTTGGTTTACGATGCCATCGGGTCTCAGAAAAATGACGAAATAACCGTAGAAAGTACCTTACAGGTTAGTGTTTCAATATTTGACTGCTCAAGTTAGGAACCGAGAAATTATAATACACATGTAGTGTTGCCAAGTGAACGTGTTTTCGCGTGAACACCGTTTCTAGGTCTATCTCATTTTGAAAATTCAGCTATAGTCTCATGTTTTTGTGTTTCGTTGTTTGATAAGGAAATGTTTAACGTCACATAGCCTGAGGGTGTAGACATTTGTATAATGTATTTAGTCATGTTACCGAATACTGTCCGAATCTCGGCCAGGTACGTAGGTTTGTCAAACTGTCAAACGTTTTTAAAACCACGGATTGGTTAATTTGATTACGTAATGTCGTCCGTAACGTAGGTCAATGTCAAATATTTCGTAGCTTTGGTTTAATTTTTTTTTCTTTTTATTAATTAATTAATTATGAAAATAATGAATGTACATGTATGTGAATCACCATGTTATAAAGCTTTTAATATATGTGCTGCTATGTCACTGACACTGATATTTTTACTACTACAAAATTTTACTATTTTCACTGACTGTTGAAATTTTGTTTCCTGTAAATTAAACCTTTTCACCACCAGACTTTCTGGTTTAGTTTACATTATTTAATTAGAAGAAAATCTTCTGTAGAAGTGCTTTGAGGCAGACTCAATGCACAAAACGTGCACTGATCTTAAATGCTAACTTATCCAACAGGTCTTTAATAAGTATACATGTATGTGCTTCTAATAATAAATATACCTGTGATATCAATATAGTAATTTTCATATGCATATACGTCAAGCTTTTGGCGAGAAACAAATGGAAAGTCTGATATCATTGGTCAAACATTTTGATACATGTATTCTCTATATCACGTGCATGACTATTTGGTCATTGACTTTTATGTGTGCACATCTGGCACTTCCAGCACGCACTACTCATTTGCATACTGGAATACTGTTACTTGAACACAGTTTTATGATCAGCTTATAGTCTGGATTAAAAAAATAATTTATTTTTGGAGTTAATATATTTATGGTCATAGCTACATATTGACATCATTTTCACACAAGTTTCAATTAATACATTTGTATCAGTGGTCATCAAACAATCTGCGAATGGTATGGTCTGGAAAATGAATTCTGTGCCTTGCCAAGATGAGGTTGGGAGAATTAGTCCACATATTTGACTTTAAAACAAAAATTTCCTTTGATAAATTTTTGAAACTATCTGTATACATGTATTGTGGGAGCATCCAGACTTACTATATTTCAAATAGTTATTACAAAGATACATTGTATGTCCAGTTAACAAAGGAACCATGTTTTGGTCTCCTGCAAGATCGTCAGTCTGTGACATCATTCAAAATTGCGTGCAAGACCAATCAAATTACTGAAGTGTGTTATACCAAAAATAGCACATGGATTTGTCACATTGATTGTTATAAGATGTATGTGATAAATATAATTTTTATACATCTGTCACCGTAACGCTATAAGTTACAGCGCGTCGTAATTCTGCGGTATTTTACGGGGTATTTTCATACTATCATATTAGGAAATTCGAATTCCAAAACGTCCTCTAATAATAAAAACAAACATGGCTGCCACCAGGGTTTGACCGAACCGGACTCCATACAGAAAAGTTCACTGATTCTGTTCTAAATTTTTTAGATTTCGGCATTCCCATGATGTATCCTTGGTAGGAAAAGATGTATATTAATAAGGTTATTACGAAGATATCTCAAAGTATGCACTCTGACAGTACGCTGTTGCATCGACCCCCCGCTGCGCGTCGGTCGATACTGCCGCTGTACTGTCTCTATGCACATACTCTACAAAGGAAAGCTAGTATGTTATACATGTATATCGTCAGAGCTATAATTGTAACTGATGTTATCCAATGTTGGTAAAAACTGACAGGGAGCATTTTGTGGTTGAAGAGGACGAAATTAAAAAAATGACTTGATGACTGCATAATATTATTATGAGATTAAAATATTTGCAAAAAAATTGTTCAAATAAGAAACCTGTGAGTAAGCTGAAGAACACTACCCTGTAGTCAAGATGACTACCTTGAAGGGATATAATTGTCCCTTATGACATAAACTGAAGTGAGTGATCTCTGTTTTCAATGTCATCACAGACATGGAGAATGTGTCCTATACTTCATATCTGTATGCAGAACACTACTCAGAGGCCTGGGTAGAATACAGAGGTAATACTGAAATAATTGCTGTATAGTTTCTCATTATGCTCACTAGTGTTTTTTGTCTGAGTAAGTAAATGTACCCCAGACTTATTACCTGAATTCTACATGTACCCCAGACTTGTTACCTGAATTCTACACATATATGCAGTGAATATAAGCCTTCTCCAAAGTGGATGCATTTTCTAGTCTTAGTAAAATGACTGCTCAAACCACGAGAATTTATGTCATCTCGGTTTAGTTTCTGATTACAGGGAAATTATGTTATCTAGTGCACTCAGTTTAGAGTTATTTCTCCGTTGTCAACGTGTTTCATCTGAAACAAGCAAATCATATGTGATATGGAATTTGTTAGTCTTCATGTGCTTTTAAATTTTATGAAGAATTCTTGGTTGAATTTTATTGACTTTTTTGTGTGTGATTAATTCAAAGTAGTTTTAAAAACAATGTCTATTTGGGTGCCGGATGTGGTGAAAAATTGTATTAACAAGAAGAATATAGTGTTTTATCTTTTGTTGATGACATCATAGTTTAATCTGAGAAAAATGTATGAAATTAAATTTTCTCTCTTGTACATTTGCTTCATTTCTACTACAGTCTCACTGAATGGTGCTTCAGTCCCATATTTATCAATATCATTATTATTTACCATTTGGAAGTCCACTTAACGATATAAGATTTTTTTTTGATTTTTTCAATTTGTTTTATCGATATCTGTAGCTGTACATTTGATCAAAAAATTACAGAAAGTATATAGAAAAATTATGTGCAACATAATTTATAGCAATGTTTATCATTTTTTTTTTTCTTCCATCTTTGCATAATAAAAGAAGGTTTATTTTGATCACTGTTGTGAATGGCCAGCAATACAATGTCAAACCATTCACATAATTACGGTAAATAAGCTATGTAGTTCTGCAGTATTGTTTTACTGTTTATGCATAGACCAGATGTTTATGCATTTTGACTGCAAAATAAATATATTGTTTAAATATACTGTGTTAATATATTGGAGGGCTAACATATTTTCCTTCAAAATGGTCAGGGTTTTTGTCTGTGGTATAAGTAGTTCAGTTAGGCCAAAGAAAAAATTTGTGTTTCCAGTTATTTTATTTCATTTTCCAGTGGACCAACTTGTTAACAGTCATTTTCAAACATAGTCATGCCTTTTACATGTACGTACATTGCTACTTGATGAACAGATATTAAATCGTGCAATGATAACTAACTTTTCGGCTCAGTACTTTTATTAAAGTGAAATTGATTGGTGGTAATATAACTATATATATCTATGCATGTGCTGCACTGATTTAGCACATATGCTTGTTTCTTTCCCTAGAGGTATTCTTCTAATAGAGCGAATACGGTATTTTGATTATATTCACTTTTCCATGAAGATCCACATGCATCGTTCAAACTGCATCCTAGTGTTTAATAGTGCATATCTCATCTCAATACTCTGACAAGCCACATTTTGCTGTTAATTGTCAGCCACTAGTAAATGTGCTTTCAATAATTCAATATGTGTTCTCTAAAGTAAAACATACATACTGTGAGTAAAAGTTGGTCTTCTATTTATATCATTTTGGTCATGCTTATGTGCTAAACATATTTAAAAAAAAACAGCATGTAGATCAGTGCTCACTGTCGCACTAGCAAATTCCTAATGAGAAAACATTTGATTATAAAAACTGTATGTATCATACTTTTCAGATATTTCCATATCATACACAAGCAGTGAAAGTATACTTCACTTCACCCTTGGTGTAAGTAGTTGGTAAATGACTTATTTTCTACCTCAGTGCATTTGAATTCAGATGCATTGTATTCATTGCATGAGACCCATAATGACAGAAACACTGGTGTTTCAAAACTTTATTTCTGTCTGTATTACATGCTTGTTATACATGTACATTGTATATTAAATCACTTTGCTGAATTAAACTTCAAAGTAAATTCAATTATTCCCATACATGTAACACCATTGAATAGTTTATTCATAGACTTTGGCTCTGATTTATTTTGGTTTATTTTACACAATTATCATCATTTATCATTTAAACCAAATTATTTTTTGGTTTATTTCAGACGAGTGCAAGTCAACATCATTTTTATTTGTTCTCATGTAGTTGGCTTCATAATACATGAAGGTTTTTGTCATGATGCATGTTCACTACCAAAGTGAGATTAAATCCCAATTATTTTCCAAATATTTAATCTATTTTTTCTGAAAGTCGTTGTAAGAGTTCAAGAACCTGGCAAAAAATTTGTAGGCAATTACAAATAATTTGTCTTTTCATGAAGTTCCATGAACATCATTCGAAAAGCATTTTTACTAATAGTGTAGCAGCAGCTCACAGATCTGACAAGCAACAATTTGCTGTTGTTGGCCACGAAAAAATATTCACACAAAACTTGAGAAGACAGTTGTCTTTTCGTTAACAAGTCAAGAACTCTGTGTAAAACATATTTTGAACAGAAAACAGTGTGCAGACCAGCTCACATTGTCAAACTAGAATTATGGGGAAAAAACATGAAGGAGAATTATGTTACAAGGCAACCATCCCTCTTTTTTTTACCTTTAGAGGTACCAGGATGTTTGATCTTTAGAGGTACCAGGATGTGTCGCCTTCAGAGGATATGTATAAAGCCTTTTTCCATCCATCAAATCACATTCTCTCTTTAAAGCAGACACATTTATCTTAAACATTAATAATGTCAAGTAATAAAAAAAGAAAGAAAAATTGTCCATTACTTGTAAATTTCCCATCATGCATCCCAGTATGTCTGTTATAAAGACCCTAATTTAATCTGTCCATATTTTGAAT